GGCCGGCCCAATACGAAGTCGACACAAGCCTGAATATTTTCATACAACCTATAGTAAACCTACAAGTTGCTATGATTAAACTTCAAAAAATCGTGTTCCCATCTACGAATTCGTTTTAGACTTTTGAAGAGAACATCGTGATTTTGTTTATAGGAACTTTAAGATGTTTTGTGCTACTTGAAAATAGGCCAAGGATACATGGGACAGTTTGGTGTCTTACGCAGCTCCGGCCCAACATAAATGAGTGCTCATGGGCAAAAAAACAATTTTGGACATTTTAGTAAATAAATTTTGTTTTGAGATTTTTAAATTGTTTATTAAAATCTGGACTATTTTGTAAATATAGTTTTGACCCAATATGTAACTTTTTAAAGATATAAGAGTCCTTTTATGTAAAAAAAAAAGATAGCATTTAGAAAAGTTTAGGGTTTTTAATTAAACTAGGGGAAAATCCGGGCTACGCCCGGTTATATATATTAGATAATTGACATTTTTAAGTAAGTTAACTTAGTTTTAAATTGCTGTATATTTTCTATAATATACATGCAAAAATTCTCCGATTTTGGATTAGTGTTTGAAGCTATAATTAAATATTTCATAGGGATAGTCTATTATCTAGTAAATGACCAAATTATATTTTGATAACTTTGTGATAAATTATGTTATTCAGAAACTTTACTTTTTGCATGATTGGAATATAGAAATTAAAAGCATATTTGGCGAAATTTAGCCGAGAATAAAATCAGATTTATACAAATTGGTAACTTTGACTAAGCGAGTACAAAATTAATCTATACTACGCGACTCTGCTTTGGGAGTGTCTTCACTCATTGCTAGTTTAAGATTTAAAAATAGTAAATTATTTCGTTATTGTGACATAAACTTAACTTAATTAACACTCACAATTAAGACAAATGATATACTTGAAACATGTAGAAACATATGGTGATATGGACCAAAATGATCATTCTTGCACTCTACAAAAATTTGATCCAATGCGTACATATGGATGGCCTAAAAACGTCAAGACCTGAAAAATGATCTATTGTTATCTCTTTTTTTCGGTGGCAGTTTGGTATGATTGTTAAGGGTCAAGTTTCGTAACATATGTTTGAATACTTGACTCGATCACAACATAAGGGCTTGACTCATTTGTTAGTTTTGTTACACATATTAACCAAAAAAACACCAATTAATATTCATTTTAAGCTTTTGAAGTGTGAAATAAACAAAACTAAAAACACAAAATATATATATAAATCTTTCATAGCAAAGATCGAATAAAACTAAATAATTTTTGTTTGATATGGAACAAAATAACTCATAATCTTTCAAATAAAATAAAACCTTCCAAGGAATCGTTGCATCCCTTGGGGCCTTTTCTTGGGCATCACAATCCCATAATGTTGTGCATTCAAGGCTGCCAAGTAAGAATCATGTGAAAATTGAAATATATAATCTGCAAACATCTGTATTAAAGTGACAACAAAATAATGAATATGAATCCCCAATGATTTTGCTTACTATATTGTGATTTTTCTGATTTATTCAAAACACTAATCATGGTTTAAAAGTTTAGATTACCTAAAGGATTTGTATGAGTCGTACGGTGTCAGATTGTGACATCTCCATTGGATTTACCCGACACGTCATATCTACGCCTCAACATCTTTTCTTCGTTCATATACTTGAGCCGTTGCATTGTATAATTTCTATGATTCTTATCTCATATCTCACCTGCTTCTCTTTCTACTTTGACCGCTATGACGCCGATCAAACACTCCATCTGCAGACAAAAACCCATAATATATTAATCTCGGAAATAAGTTATCTGTAGCAAATCCGAGAGTTTGGGAAGGCAAATGAGATTGTGAGAAGAGCAGTCCTTGAGTTCCTTAACCCGAGGTATGTAGAGGATGTCAGATGATGCCTATCTCTCCGGAAATATCATGATCAAACACATCACCCCAAATTATCAAGTGCGAAAGACTAATTGAGCATACCTCTTAAGAAATCACAAACTGTGAATGCCATTACTCTACCTTCTTCTCTTTTGAGGATTGAAGTAGCTCCAGTATTTGGGCAAACCCTGAAGCAAAAAATGTAACTAAAATTCATAGAGAAATTAAGAAATTCAAATCAAACTCTTTAGAATTTGGATTGTAATCACAAATTATATATGTAACAATATAAATTACAAATGTTTAGCAAAAGACATGCCCATCTTCATGGTGCACAACAGTATGATTCAAATTAATATCATAAAACACTTCCATTAAAAGAATACTATTAAAGTGAATATTCCCTGTTATAATAAGGAGAGATCAAAGATATTGAGACACCATCCAACTTACATACATGATGGTTTCAAAAATAATGCACATCTTTCTATCTTAGTTCTTTCTTAAGAGGTTCGTACTTGATGGCTACTATTTGTCTGCAAGTTACTCTTCTTAATCTTGAAAGTACTTTAAATACGTAGGTGTAGACACATGCAAAAAATATCCAAATCGAAATTTGACCTTGTAATCCTGCAGTAAAACGAACTCAAATAAGATAAGAGAAGACAATTACAAACCATAATTTGGACTAACCTTGTTTGTTCAAGGAGAGCTTAACCTGGTAAATCTTAGGTGCATAGTTTTAGTTGATAGCAGATCTCTTCCAACGATCTGGTAATGGTGGCAATGTAAGACAAACATCTGAAAATCCAATCAGAACAGCAAAGCTATGGGAAAACGAAAGTACGTAACGTAAAAATAAGAACCATTCAAGAACATATAGGGAATCGATCGATAAATAGGCATTATAATCACTTTATTCTGTTCAAAAACCTTTTCATCACTTCAACACGAGCAACCCAATAACACCAACCAATGGTATGAACCGTAAAATTCTCGGCCTCTTCGGATTCCGCACATTGATCTGCAAAAGAACCCACCGGCAGTGTTGTTTTTTTCTTTTTCTTGGGCTCTCCCTTTGTTCCTGCTATATTTTGGATCAGTGTCTGTAAATAGACATGGAGAAGGGTTATAAAATCAATGTGAAGTAAGAACTCTGAAAAATTAATTCGAATCATCATTCATAAGACAAATATACAGAGAAATAGCATTCTCTTTATGGAAAAAATAAGATAGTGAAGCATCATTTAAAAAACATACAAAAGCCACTACCATGAATCACATCATTACAATCAGCGACAGAACAGAGGAGTGCATAAACGATACCTCTTTCTAACAACTTGAAACAAAACTGAGTAGACGTATGTTCATACTCACGATCGAATTTGAAATCAGGAAACAAAGACGGAAAAGGGTGAAGAGAAAGCTTTCGTGTAGATATATGAGGAGATGCGTCGTTTATGAGAATTGGGGAAGAGAAGACATGGGAAAGGGCAACCGTTCATATTATCTGAGACGTTATATCTTCGTAAACCCTACTAATATCGGAAAATTTGCATCAAATAAGTCTTATTAGTCTTTTGTTTGATGATGACATGGCAATCTAGAAGTAAATTAAAAACGCTGACGTGGCATCCTCTAAGATAGTTTTCATTTTGCTGATGTGGATGGCTTGAGAGGCTTCAAACAATTCCTTTTATTAGTAAGAGATTTTTCGGGCCAAATTTTTAGTTTTTTAAAACATGATAACCCATTTGTTTTTTAAGTTTATTTGTGAAAAAACACATAGTTCTATGGGTTGTGGCTTCTCTGCCCACTCTATTTGGGCCGAGCATGTGTCTACGAGTTCGAGCTGACAGCACGCAAACAAACAGCAGACCAAATACATAAAAAAAAAAAAAACATAAATAATTTTGCCCGAATGGAATTTATAAATTCATCGAGAAGAAGTTATTGAGATAGTATCCAATTAATTAAATTTTTTTAGAGTAAATCATCTAGGTTTTTATTGGGCAGTATAAGACTCTCTACATTGGTTGAAATATTAGTCTGTATACAATGGGTGTGTTGATAATAGTGAGTAAAAGACTCTCTACATCCGTTAAAGACTCTACAATGGTGTGTAAAAGAAAAGTTGTAGATGATGTAGCAAGCTTTATTTTGAAACTTATCAACATAAGTGATAAAATCGAGCGGGACACGTCAACATTTATATGGACTATTGTGCTTTACATGTATAATCTATCTTTTATTTGTCAAATATAATTGTTTTAACCATATAAATGTTGACATTTGTTCCGCTCGATTTTTATTAATTTCATTGATAAGTTTCAAGTTTCAACACAAAACTTGCCATATCATCTACATATTTTTTTTAACACACCATTATTGTGTCTTTAACTGTTGATAATAACACACCCATTGTAAACAGTCTAATGTTAATTAAAACTAATTTAGCTCAAGATATATTAAAATCTATCAATGTGTGACTAATGGTTAAACTTTATCTCACAAAATATTGTTCTCTTAGCTATTGATATACATACACATTTGGTTTCACAGATTTGTAAGAATTTAGTTCAAACATGTACCTAGGCATTGTAAGCTTCTGACCAAAACAAAAGACAATGTAATCAAGTGGCCGCAAAATTTGTTCACCGACAACTTTTCATATTCAAGACTAAATGTAAACATTTTTTTAACTATCTCTATATAGCTTATTTTAGATTAATTAATTTATTATTAATCAAAAAAAAAGTTTCTCAGGTCATTATGAAAATTTTAACAATAATCAAATATGAACCCTAAAGAGAATTAAAAAAGGAAAAAAATAATCAAAACCAATTAGAAAACCTTTTTCTAAGGAATTCGTAAAATATTTTTAAACTTACTTTCAACGAAATTTCCAAGAGATAATTTCATTTGAATATAAAAGGGTAGAACCGTCCATAGTAGTAGAAAGAATCAAGCAATCAAAATATCAAAAAGCAAAAATATCATTAAGTAACAATAATTAATAAGTACAGGTAGGAGAAGGACTTTGGAAACCTTAGATTTTTTATTTTATATATTTACCAAAAAAAAAAAAAAATCTTCAACGCCGTTTCTTCTTCTTCCTCGCTTCGATTAATCTCATCTCTCAATCAATCAAAGCTTCGTACCTCAAATCCCTCAGGTTTGTCTCTATAAATCGATTTCATAAAACCTAACAATTCGTCTCTTTCTATTTGTAAATTCTTCACCTTTACATGTCGTCGGGATCTAATTTTAGATTTGATAATCGAAATTTGTTGTGAGTTAGAAGAAAAAAAAACCCTAAATTTCGATTGATAGATTCATGTTTAGGGTTTTAATAATTTGATATTGTTGTTGTGAAACTTCATTGATTCATTGTTTCTTGATCTCAGTGTAGTTTTTATTAAGCAAGAATCATCTGCAACCATGTTTATGAATCGGCTATTCGGGAAACCCAAGCAGGAGACCAATACTCTCCAAACATTAGACAAGCTCAGTGAGGTAATCTCCAAATTCTCTGTTTTTGATTTGACCATCTCAAACTTCAATGTCAAAATTGGATTTTTAACAAGATTGGAGATTCAGATTACAAATACTTTAGTGGGTTATAATGACTATTGCTTTTTGTATCCGTTTTTGGGGTCTATACTCGAGACAAAGCTTACTTTTCTGGTTGAAAATTGGAATTTGTGTCTTACTAGATATATACTCTCTGCATTGCTATAGCAAATTTGAGAAAAAAGATTCACTTTTTGTTTATTGTTCTTTTGATACTTCTTTTGGTGAGTTCTCAATTGTATTATTGTTCTTCCTCAGACTCTTGAGATGCTAGAGAAGAAGGAGAATGTTCTTCTGAAGAAAGCTAATGGAGAGGTTGAGAAAGCTAAGGAATTCTCCCGGGTGAAGAACAAACGCGGTATGACCAACTTTTGCTGTTATATACAATGGGACCAATTTTTTTGCTTAGATAGTTTGAATATATTCATGTATCCCATGCGTAGAAATCCATGAATGTGTTTGTGTTTGTGTTGTCACTAGATCGATAGATTGCTTACGCGTATTGTTATTGTGCAGCGGCTATACAATGTTTGAAAAGGAAGAGGTTATATGAGCAACAAGTTGAACAGCTCGGTAATTTCCAGCTCCGTATTCATGATCAGGTGAGCTCTCATGTTTTTATTTTTGAAGCTTTTTATGAGGTTTGCTACGATAAACGATAATTGAGTATACCACTATGTATGTGTAAACAGATGATTATGTTAGAAGGTGCGAAAGCAACAACAGAGACTGTAGATGCTTTGAGGACTGGAGCTTCTGCAATGAAAGCTATGCAGAAAGCAACGTATGTGTTTTATTTACCTTACTATTCATTTTACTATCGGGTTTAATGAATTATGAATTTAATCAGCGACTAAGTGTGCGTTTTGTCTTGCAGAAACATTGATGATGTTGACAAGACAATGGATGAGATCAACGAGCAAACTGAGAACATGAAACAGATCCAAGAAGCATTGTCGGCTCCATTTGGAACAGCTGCTGATTTTGATGAGGTAACTTTCCTTTAGACCCATGATCATACTCAACTAGAAAAACACATTCTTTTTCAGTTTTTATTAACAGTATGTTTATTGGCAATTACAGGATGAATTGGAAGCAGAACTTGAAGAACTAGAAGGCGCCGAGCTAGAAGAGCAACTTCTTCAGCCTGTTCCAATCCATGTGCCTCAAGGAAACAAACCTAATCGTGCTCCAGCTCAAAAGCAACCTACTGCTGAGGAAGATGAACTCGCTGCCTTACAAGCTGAGATGGCTCTCTAAGGTAACTTTCTTATATCAAAAACAAACAAAACCCATTGAAGAATTTTGATATTTTTATCGGATTGTTAAAACGGCATTAGTTTACTGCAGCTGAAGCTAGCCTTGGAAGATTTCAGTTAAGTGGGGAGCTTTGTGTGTGCATTATTCAAAACAGAAAGAAAGATTTTATGTATATAAGGATCCGAGTCAAATTGATCGGAAGATTTATTTTTTTCAATATAATTAACTTATTAAACTGCATTTGAATGTTTCTTTTGCATTTTTGTCAACTCTTTATGACACTTTCTTGTGGTAATCTTGTGGGTTACGACTTGGTTGGTACTCTCTGTTCTTTTTCTCCTTCCTTCCCACTTTTGCTGTTTTGACTTGGTTAAATATAACTACGTGTCGTTTGTAAGTTGTACCAACCTTTTGTTTGCTCCTCAAAAGTTGTTACTTGTCTAGTAATCGGTTCTATGTTTGCAAAACGTTGTCCAAACCGTTATATCTCTGGTTAAGTTTGCAATTGCTTTCCAGTTTCCATGATGGTTCACCGGTGATTTCTGGATCGTGCCGATTGCAACGTGTGTAGAAAGCTTCATGCTTTTGATTCTAAGAATACCCATGTCACAGTTTTAAGCTAAGCATACAAGTCTCATGGTTCAATTGTATGTATATGATATGATTGATATCCGTTATGCTGACCCAAAAAAATGAATCCAATATTATTTTTGGTTTGTGTTATGTTTTACGTTAAAAGTCGAATGTATAATAGTGATAGTTCCGGAAAACTGATTTAGTGTTTTACCTCCAGCTTGCGAGATGGTTTTGTTGTTCGAGTCAATCTCTTTGTTTGCGCATTTTTCAATCTATGTTTCTCTTGTATATAGCTATTGAAATATTTTGACTAAGGCAATTCCTCGAACAGAATCATCAAGTAGCTTTGTATTTTTATTGTATTGTATTGTAATCATGTTTTTTACTATGTACTGGTAGTGTAGTTAGTGTATTGCCTATTTCGATTCTCCGTTTCTGGTATAGAGCCTGCCGTTTGTTCGAGTTCCTCATTCAAACATTCAAGCGTGAATTCTGATTTCGTTGTTTTAAAAGTCACAAGACTTCTTCCTAGTGAGTATATTTCAACTACTTTTGTTGATTTGGACGCATTCTTAATAGCATTTATCTTTCACAGCGTTAAATTGCCTGATTATCAGTTTTGTTGATGAACATGTTTGTGGTTGTTAGTCTTAGATACAAGAACTAGTAAGTAGTGACAGTGTACCTCATTTTATTCTAAAAGAGCCAGAGAAGATGCGGCAAAGAAGAAAGCATGTAACTAGGGATATTAAAATGAGATATTTTTTTTTTTTTTTTTTTTTTTTTTTTTTTTTTTTTTTTAAATGAGATATTTTACTAGTCAAAATGAGCTAAGTCATAGATTTCATCAGTGTCTCATGACTCTCATTACATGTTAGAGACAATGAGGTAATAACTAAGAACCACATAGCAAATTTGTAACGTTTTTTTTTTTTTTTGACTAGTATTACTATTTAACCGCTTGTCACTAATAACACATGGTTTAATTGTTTGTGTAGCTTTAAATCAAAGTTGTTTTTTTTTTTTTACCCTTTTTTATTACTGTTATTTCCCTAATGATCTTGTCATGGCGATGATTGCCAATCGAACTACATAGTTTCCGTATGATTTTAGCTACATTTAATTAAATCAGAATCTCTGATTTGCTGATAACATGTAAATATGTAATAGACTTGGTTAGGGTAAATAATTAATAATTTGACTCGACTTTTTTCTTGACATGATCACCCGTTAAGTAATGGAGTCTAGTGACCATTACATAGGTTTCTTTCTTTACTCGATCACTTATTATAGTTGTGTAGACTAATAATCACTACTCAACTCTACGAATTTGGACTTTTCCTCTATAACCATATCTATATGTTTTTAATTGATAATTAAATCGATTCCGTCAATACATATATGGATTTCTTCAGTATCTAACAATGGACCCCATATGTCCCCCTGTTTTAATCAAAAGATCTAATAAATGTTTCCCTCAAAATGTGCATTGCCTTTAACTAGGGTTGGGCACACATATCTTAAATAATGTAAACAGTAAGGCTGGGTGATCCAATCTTTAACTACATATTACTCCAAAAAACAATATGAAAAATTGATACACTATCTAATAAGATTTCAAAATTTTTGATGCAATACATAAAAATGATAAAAGATTTGGAAAAAAAAAAAGAAGATGTGATTTCTTATTCAAAAGAAATGATAAAAAGTAACAGATTAAAATCTTGATAGGGAAAATCACATTTTTAACCCTCAAAGTGTCACTAGGTAGCACTTTAAACCTCGAGAGATTTCTACTAACACTATAAACCACCAAAATAATTTTACTAACACTATAAACCTCCAAACTAGTTTTCATGTTTGCACGGCCATAAAATATGATGGAAAAATTAATTTATGTTGGTTTAATATAAATTTATTTAATTCAATTTAAATTTTAATTAATTTATTAATTATTATGATTTTTTTATTATTAAGAAACGTAAAAAAAAATTAAATTCCTCCGATACGGAGAATGCTTTGTTTTCTCACAAAATTTTGACATTCTTTAGTTTTTATTATTGTATTCAATCTTCTCTTGTACCTCATATTCTACATTATTTGGTTTATATTATTATACTATAAACTTTTCTTGTGCTTAAATCTAAAGTTTTAGAGGTTTAATTTCGAAATTTCATGATCGAACGGTGAGTAAAGAAAGAAGGTGAAGTTTTTTTATGTTTTTTTTTAAGATTTTTATTAATTGTAATAAATAATAAAATTAATTTAAATTTAAATTAAATTAAATAAATGTATACTAAACAAATAGAAATTAAATTTTCCATCATTTTTTATGGTGGGACAAACAGAAAAGCTAGTTTGGAGGTTTAAATTGTGATGAGGTCATTGACCTAAGCTATGAACCAAACCAAGACAAACCAAAAATTCCCGAAGTAAAGGATGGACCAATGACTCGTTCTAAGGCAAGAAGGCTCAAGGAAGGGTTCAACAAGGCTGTAGAGACTCTTCTCACCACCATGGAACTTGGAGAGATGTCCAGAAACATTCAAGAATCAACAACTTTGCAAGAGAGCTCAAGTGCACCCGATTTGGACCTAACAGAGGACTTTGCACGTCTTAGCCTCAAGGAAGCACCTCCAACCGAAACCCATTGTAAGTCTATCTCTTTGGCAGGTGCAGGAGCTAAAAACATCAAGATTTCAACAAAGAACACTTTAGAGCTGCAAGTAACGTCCAAGACAAGCAATGGATCCAACAAGCTTCAAGTAGAACAAGAACACAAGCTTGAAGATAATCACGTGGAAACTCTTGAAGATCTTCATCTATTAGAGCTGAAAGGACTCCAAGAGGAGGAAAGCATCAAGGAAATCAAGCTGGACGGACCAGACCCAGACAAGATCACTTCAGCCTCAAGCAAGCTCATTTCAAGCCAAAACCAGGTATTTTCAATATTTATGATTTGTGCAGGTAAAAATGAGTTCTCCTAGTGGTTTAAGCGTCCCAAGAGACCAGGGAACGAGCCCCAGCAAGTGCGCACCGTAGTTAGCTTGTTTTTTTTGCTTATTTTCCATTTTTGTTGTTTAAGTACTTTCCTTTTCTTATTATTTCGAATTAGTCCTGTTGCTGTGTCGTTTTTGCTTCTTTGAGTCGCCCTAGGGCTAGCTGAAGAACCCCTTTATAAGGTTCCCCTGCAGCTTTGTAACATTCACGCTTTTTCTCATATCAATAAAGTAGAACTTTCTTCCTCTCAAGCCGTCGCCTTGCAGAGACTATTGCTTGTTCTTAGGTTGTGTGATTCACCTAAGCTCGAGTTTACCTTGCTGTATCAGAGATCCTTCCATCATCTCTGTGGTGCCATCGATCCACTTCACATCCATCCTTTTGATCTCACAAGAGAGAGCGTCACAGCCAGCTTGTTTGATTCCGCATCGACTTCAGGCCTCATCCCTTTGAGTCTTGACGTATAAACTCACCCACTGAAACTTAAGAGAGTGCGCTACAGCCAGCTTAAGTTTCCCATCGATCCTCCTCGTATTCACTCGTCCACGCCTCAAAACATTAAGCTCGACCTCACGTCGAGTTAGTCGGTCGAGTCCACCACTCGAGTCAGTTCTTGCGCTCTTATAAGTCTCTTAACCGAGTCTTATATCAAATTGTTACTAAAATTATCTTGGTGGTTTATACTGCTAGTGAAATTCTTTTGAGGTTTAAAGTGCTACCCAGTAACACTTTGAGGGTTAAAAATGTGTTTTTCCCAATCTTGATATACTCTAAATATTTTATATAATATAACAAATTTATGATATACTATACTAATAATATACAGGTCAGAACCGAATTGTAAAAAAATGTAAAAATGATATTTGTGGTTTACTTTATTTTATTTAAACGAATAGTATAATTAACTGTTTGCTTTGCTTCAAATCATTGCAAATATTCAGCTTTTCTAGATCGAAAAAAACTAATATAAACAGATAATTAAATTTGTCAGTCCTAAGCTTAATCCTTTGGATAAGATCTATGACTACGAGACCTCTTTTTAAAAGTCAATATTACTTCGGATAAGATCTGTGACTACCAGTACCTCTTTTTAAAAGTCAAATACTCAGATGATTTTTCCCTGAAAACTTAAAAGAGTTTTAACATTGAAGCAAAAATATTTAAAAGCGTCGTTAAGAGTACGTCGTGATCATTATTAATTCATTATGAAACATTGACAAATATAGCATCAAAATTTAAAGATGAAGTATCCCATTGTTTAACCAAAAAATACGACATTCGTTTTTCATTATTCCACAAAAAGTTATTAAACGTTCATTAGAATCTACTAATAAATATTAGAGTTATTTTCCTTTAACAAAAAAAATATATTAGAGTTATTTTGCAGTTGTTTTCTAAACCAGATGTGTGTTTCAATACCATCAAACAAGAAGAATTTGATCATAAATCCAAATAATATCGATATAACAACTACTTAATAAACCCTAATCTTTAAGCCAAGTATCATATCTAATACTGGATAAGCTCAAAATCGTGCAACGTGCAAAGTGTTTCGATACAGTTTAAGATCCATTATATAACTCGAGATCCATTATATAACTCGAGTATAATTTTCTATTTAACTTTTGGTTTACTCAAGTAATTAAGAACTAAAGGACACACAAGTACAGTAACAACTACTGAATTACAATCTCCGACTCAATTTGGACATAATAATCAGAGTCTCCGATTATGATGTTTAGGGACGTTAATCACATCACCACCACTTTGAGCATGCCTAAATAAACAGACCAAAACAAATCATTACTTAAAAACTAAGTACATTAAAGAAATGGCCACTTATGTGGCTCATAACAAAATAATTAATTTACATTCTCATTTCATTCATTAGATATTTAATAGTAATTACATTGAGATTTGCATCGAACATCATAATATCAAAACCAAAAACCAACAATATCATATAATAATATATATTAGTGAATCCATCATAATGAAAAATCCTAAGCAACTCCTATACACTGAGAAATAAATCTCCCTGGAATCATCGATTATAAAATAGAGATTATACGAAATTAGGAAATAATTTTTACATAAAAACTTTTAGAGAAAATCTCCTCTTTTCCTAAGAAGAGATTCATTGAAAAACCTCCCATGACGATAATTATTCCTTTAATTAAATTTACGAATCCGGTTAAAATCACATAACCAAGTCAGAGACCCACCCGACATCAGGAGTATCACCCGCTCCCTGATCCGGATCCGGGTCAACACGACCCATGCAATTCTCTTTGCTCAGCTTCTCGAACAGCTGCGCTCGCAGTTCACGACCCGACTCGACCCGTTCCATCGCCGGTTCTTCCTCCGGACCATTTTCCCATATGTTCATAAACCCGGGTCGGGTCGGTGTAGTTGGTAAGCTCCGAAAACCAGGACCCAAAACCGATCCACGAGGCGACCCGAACCCAGATCCGTATCCTCCGATTTCATTGTTGTACGACGAAGAAAGAGACTTCACTTTACTAAGCTGCAGATTCCTCAGAGACGCAACGACGTCGTTTCCCAAATTAGACCCGAGCGAACGACTCAGTAAAGACGGCGACGAGTCCGAGTCACCTCGAGGACTCACCGGCGGGGAGTTAGACGACGGCGAAATCGTAAACGGAAACACTCTACGAATCGGAGACAAACCGTCAAATGAATCAACACGATCAGGGCTTTGACTAGGCAAAACCCTAAGCTGATCCGGCGAATGAGCGAAGAAACAAACACGACGGCGACAGTTACCACCGTCTTTACACGGCTGAGTCCGGTAACGCGCCGGATGAAGCCAACACTCAAAAACACCATGAGAAAACTCACACGCGTCTCCTCTCTTGCAACCACCTTTACGAAACTCAGGACACGCCGTACCGGAATAATGAAACTTCCTCGGATCACGACGGCGAGCTTTCTCACCGGGATGAGCGTAAGGACACTCCGTCCAATCATGACTCCGACCACGAGCGCAACGTCTCACTTTAAACTCATACATCCGAAAATGATCACACGAATAAGCATCGATGGGTGAATCCGGACCCGAGAGATCCGGATCTGAATCCGGATCCGGTTCGTTTGACGGAAGATAACGTTGTAACGCAGCCAAAGCTTCCATCATGCTACTTCCTCCGTCAGGACTTCCGTAAATATCTGACGCCGTTAAATCTTCAGACAATGGCCATGATGGAATATGAACCGTTGGATTAAAACTACGATGAGATTCTCCGATCATCATTTTGTCTTCTCCGATGAGTTGGTTTTGTTTGAAGTGTTTGCTAAATCTCCGGCAAAGCTTTGCTTCTTTATAAACTGATGTTGAGTAGTGGGATATACTTAAACCACGTCTTGGTTAAAATTTAACCATGGTTAAATATTTCTGCTTTTATCAACCGCGGTTAAATCGAAAGTGCGAAAGCTAGCGTGACGTGTCGGTGAGGTTGAGGTGAAGGAACAGCGGCTTGAGACCTTTCCACGAGGATATTTTGCTAACGTGGAGGATTTGTGAGTGACTTTAATGTGACAGTCCCGTGAGCGAGCGGCTGTTATATTACTAAAAATTGATTTGTTTTTAATTCCACTTTGAGTTCCGAAGGCGGTGGGAGGAACCTTTAGATACGCTTACTAAACGACAAAAAGGATAATCTATATTTTTAATTAATTAGAAACTAATGGGAACACATAATCTAAATTTTAGAGAAAATCTCTCATAACCGTTCAATTTGCTATTTAAAGTAGTAAAATTATTTTTATTAATGTCAATTTTGTGTATTATTATGAAAATATTGATAGAGAATTTTGGTATTTATTTGTTATGGAAAGAGAGAAAGGGATAAAACGAAAGTGTCTGTGAAGAAGAAGACATGTTGGAACAAATTGGGAATAGTAACGTTAAAAGATATTAAAGGAGACTCACTTATGCTTCTTTACTAAAATTAGAAGCAATTCCACCACTCTTGTTTTATCTTTTCTCCATCTTTTTTATCTTTTCTTTTAAGAAAAAAACTATTTGGTCAAAACAAAATTTTGGGTTTGTATTATGCTCCATGTACATTTGTGTTTGTATTATGATACAATTTTTATATGAACATAGTTGAGCTACCTATTCTATGTTATTCACTAATCGCTTTATATTAGAATTCTAACTTTGTTTAGAAGGAGATTTGAGTTTGATGGAGATGTGTAAATTTCGGCCCAACAGTTCTTGATTAACCAGAATTAATAAAAATGTTTATTTGAAATTTGGATGTTAACAACAAAGTACAAGATCTCCAATTGGGTGGTTGAGACACATCTATTATCTTCAAAATTGAAGTACTAAGAATATATTGATAGATGTTGGATTTAAATGGTACACCTACAAAATTAAAATTTACAGATTGAGCTAATAAATTTTCGAAGCTAATTAACATCTATTTTTAGAAAAAATAATTAAATTGAAAAAAAGAATAATAGAGTAACAAACTTTGACTATTAAAGAACAGATGTAAAAGAAAATAAGTAAAGCTAGACAATTTAGTAGAAAAGCTTAGAGTCCATGAATCGTTATGAAAATCTCAAGCCTAATGACATCAAGATATTTGCCTTTAATTATAACTACTATCGAAGTTTATCGCTCTAACAATTTTTAAAATCGTTATCGAAATTATTTATTTTCAAAAACATTATACCGCTTTTTTATCATTATTTTATACCATTTTTAAATATTTTGATATTATTTATTATTATTTATATATTTTATATTTTTTTACCGTTTTATATCATCAATCGGATCCATAGTCGGTTCTTCAGTATCAAGTTATGGATTGAGATTGACCATAAATATTTACAATTCTCTGGTTTGCCCAAACAAAATTCTACAATTAAAAAGATAAAAGAAATTAACTCTAGAATATTTGTAAAGGTGGTCCTCACAATGATCAAATCCTGCAATGGTTCATCTCAGCCACAAGTTTTACTTTTTTTTACTTTTTCCCCAAATATCTTTTTTGTTCACATTGATTAGTGGTAACTCGCAAATTTAATGTCTATAATTTCGCATGTGTCGTGGCAACTCCACCGTTGATATTATATTGTTGATGATTGCAAGTGCAACATATCATTTGTTGAAGGCCATAAAACGGCAGATGCATCATTTCATTTGTTTATTAAACACAAAATATCTTTTAGGTACCATTTTAAAACCTAGAATTTCTAATGGCTAGCAGCTTGGTTAATTTACAAAAAAAAAAAAATGGCTAGCTTTACAGAAAAGTTTAGAGGATTCACTACAAAATGAGAAAACCTTTAAACGAGATTTTAAATTCGGTTTGACAAAATGATCGTGGAAGATGTTGACTGAACCAAAAAATAAGCATATATGTATAATTAGTAGGATCCTCAAAGTGACAGGATTAATTGATAAAGGCATGCATGCATGCGAGCTTTATGTCGCTTCTAATTGAGGAGACCGATGGAGAAGCTAATGTGTGTAGTTTTGCATTTCTCTTCTTCCCAATATTTGTAGAGAGTTGCTTGGTAGAGGAGATGATAGATGAGCTTTAGACAAAGGAATAAAAGCCATTGTTTTCTTTTTGTCAATTGAACACGTTTTCCAATTCTAGAGGGATTGAATATCGGAGCAATAGCCAACATCAAAGTTGAATGGTTCAACAACAAGCAAGCAAACATCCGAAGCTAAGAAATTTCATTGACAGTGTATCATGAATAGCCAATCGATTATGCACAACAATCCAACTGATGACACATTCTTTGGATTCAACTATAAATCCATAAGAAAATCATGTTCTTATGTCTATAGTTTATTCAAACAGAAAAAACAGTGTATATTAATTGTTTGAGCAAATTTTAATATGTTTGGTATAGACAAATAGTAATAAAATATACAGATATACAAATAGGAAATATAATTTATTCACTCAAGGCTAATAATAACAAAGGTTTTCTTGGGAGATGTTAAATCCTTGGTCTTAAGTTTTAGTCTAAATGGCAAGAGAAATTATATATGGATCAGATTCAGATATATCCAAAACATTTCTATTTATATAAAAAATACTCCCTCCGTATTTTAATAATTGTCGTTTTAGAATTTTTATTTTTTTGAATTAAATGTCGTTTTCAAATTTCAATGCAAAATTTCTTACTTTTTAATGTTTTATGATGTCAGTAGTATAAACTTACAATTTTTAAGGTGGTTTTTGATCATATACGATACGTACATGCACATGCAAGTGCAACCGTAAGAGTTCCAATGGGTAATGGAATTTATGTAGCTAACATACGAATAAGTACATGTATATACGGATGTCTACAGTGGCGGAGCTAGAACTTTTGTTCACCGGGGTCATATATTTTTAATTATTTTTATTTAAATATAATAATAGATGATATATTTAAAATATAAATTGTCAAGAACATTTAAAGTTTTTTTACCTAAAACAAAACTAAATAATCTATTTTCATAATATTATATAAATTTATTTCTATTCAAATTTTTTTTAATCAAAATATATCGTATATTGTGTTTATCTTACTTTTTTCAAAAAATATATGTTAAGAACAATCTTTTAAAAATGGTAGCAAACAATAATAATCTGAAAATGGATGTCTTAAAAAGAAGAAAAAATCAATATGGAAAAGATGTTATAATATTGTAGCCATTTTAAAGAAAAAATATATAAATATGGAAAGAGAACTAGCATTTAATTTTAAAAAATGAATATGCATGGGTCAAATGCATAGTTAGATCACTATTTATAGGGGTCATTATGAAAATTTTAAACAAAAACATCAAATAATTATTATGACATTCATGTTACAATTAAAAATTCATAAAAGTTATGGGGGTCAATTGACCCCCTTGCCAATACACTAGCTCCGCCTCTGGATGTCTATGTACGTGTAGATACATACACGTGTCGGCAAAACACATGATAAGAATGCCACCTCCAAAGGAAACAGTGAGCATGAAGGATCATGCCCCATGCATGACCGACCATTAATTGAAAAATTTAATATCTTGTACGATTCAATTAAATCGAAATTTATATACATCTCACCATCATGACTACTACGTGAGCCCATAAATATTCCTTAATTACTTATTTTCTTTTTCTTATGAAATCTTAGATTAGATTTTATTCTACATAAAGGTATTGTAATTTCGCACCATGAAAGCCGTGAATATATATATATATATATATATATATATATATATATATATATATGTTGATGGAATAATGTACTTAAAGATAATTAAAAAAAAGATTTAAAACAAGATTGCTGTGAAACAAAGATAAACTTCAAAAGAAAAAAAAAAGAGAAACTTAAAAAAAAATATCGTAAAATATAGGTTTGTGTTGTAAAATCAATCAAACTAAATTCTCGTGTTCGATCGATTACAAATACAACTTCCAAAAATAGTATTTTTTGTAACCGATTACAAATTATAACTAGGTAATATCTAATCTAATATTGTAAAATTCATATAATATATTTTTAAAAATGCTATGTGTCAGATATTAGGAAGATACATTATTGTGTACAGTGAGAGTTTGCAATAGCAGGTTTTCAATAAAGGAGCTGAAACGAACATGTCCAAAGAGAGCAACCTAATCACGTGATCTGTCACAAAGTCACGTGACATTTGTCTTCGCTCACGCCACGTGTCTTAACCTCCTACCACGTGTCACTTCCTTTTGGCTAAAATAGAATCCCGACAAAAGATTACTAAATAAATATCTTTAATAAAATTGGGAACAGGAAAAGAATCAGTGGGGCCGATAAGTAGTACGAAAAGTACACGTGGTACAAGGCTTTTGGTCTTTGACTGATGACGTGTCATTGTCTATATCTGTGAGTCAGAGTAGGAACATTCGATACGATTCAGACACGTGGCACAATCGAACTGAGTGGTTTGGTTCAACGATGAGACCACTTCTTTTTATTTTGTTATCCGATGCGTTCGACTTTGCGGGTTGACCCGGCTTAGTCGGAACAAGAACAACGGCCTAAAAGATTTTTGACAAAATAACTTTTTAAAGGTCCTTAATTACAGGTTGACTATTGAAAGGCTAGCTGAATTTGAGTTGGTTTTTCGATAGAAAATTTTACTTTACTTGATTTATATATAAAATTTACTTTATTTGGTGAATGATTTGATCATAAAAAGTGATTTAATATATAGTAACATTATATTTATAGCTAACATTCAATTAACATATCCATTATATACTGTATCAAGTTATCAAAAAGAAATTTATCATGATGTCATATGTTTAG